CGGGCGTACCGGGAACGAGGAGACTTGCTTCCTACTACAATATCACTCATCTCAAATGTATCTGGGGTGCTAAGCATGGGTATGAGGAAGAACAAGCAGGCATGAAGCGCTTGTCCAATGTCCGTCTTTTAAAAATATATATTCTATTGAGGTTCTAGAGGGGACCTGGGGCCCTGTCATCTTAACTGGCTATCATTGAACAAGGCGAGGAAATTCAAGTGCTTCATCGAATTAAAGCTTGACTTCGGCAACGGGCAACATAAACGCACATCTCGTCTCCAAAATCTTCCACTTAATCACTTACACCATATTCTCATAAGCTAATTCGCCTCATTCCATATTTTCCTTTTCTTTCTTTGCTAGTCTATCGCCTTAGCCACACACCTATCCATCTATTTCTTCAACATCATACATTTTCCATCGTTTGGAACCAATAAAGATACCCCTCTAGCCTCTACCCTATAGGTAATCTTGAAACCCATAACGATACTTTACGTTTTCAACTCGGCATTAATCAGACTCCTTCCACATCATCCTAGATTCCGGAAGTGTGCCAGAAATTTCCCGTTTGGGTGGAAAGTAGCCATAGAGATCATCAAGATCTCTCGAAGTTGGGGAAGAGCGACACAAATTTAGCCTGGGCTTGCAACTGCCTCATCGGAACCTTTTCCTTCCATCACTACCACCGATACCACTACCTCGCGGACTTCTTCCTCGAGGAGTATTTTTGTACCTTGCATCCAAAGATAAATTCTAATTAGAGCTCGTCACTTGTACTTTGTTTGTTCTTACACAAACAACCTAGATGAGATACATCCCATCGATACATCTTTTGCCTACGCGACAACGAGAACTTTGATGTATCATTTGCATCACAAGCTCATAGCCTCATACAAAGTCTTCAAATCACCTCATTCTGCAGACAGTAAGGTATAGTACTTACTTGAGAGAGAGCTTCAAGACGTTACTCAGTTTAATCACTCGATCACTTTGGTTGGTCAGAGAGCATTAGAAAGAATATCCTTTCTGTCCCTGCATTTCTTATCCGCGCCATCATTTTGTCCAAGTCGAGTACCGAGTATCGCTGCTCGTGAAGCACCAATCAGAACTGCTTAAAGTCTTACTCACCCAGTCCTTTACATCAGTCGCATATCGTCAGTTTTCGTTTCTTCAATACACGACCGTTGAATCTTTACCTTGTGTACCTACAAGTTCACCTGAATCGAAGACTCGAGGATCTTGGATAACTCCACATTCACGGCATTGATATCTTCGCCAAGAGTCCTTCAATTATCATAATCATCATCAAAGTGGAGAATTCTGTCCATTGGTTTTCGCATCTGATATTTCAAGAATCTCCTCGATATCAAGTTCTATCTCAAAACAACAAGATACCAAACCCAGAACCTTCACAGCTTCTTGAACGTAAGAGGCGGTCCCGTCTCATTCTTTGCCAGCGTTTCTTCGCGTCCACATACACACCCTGACAGAGAGTACAGTTCTCTGGCATACATCATAAGATCGAAAGGAGGAGACACTGTAGCTGCGGACTGTCTTGGGCGGCAGTATCTCGAAGGGACCTCGATTCTGTCAAAGGTTATCCAGGCCTATAACCACCAGTAGGGTTATAAATCATCTAAAACGCCATCTGGAATCTAGATCATATGCTTCCTAATCTTCTCTCATCCAACGCCAGTACTGTCTGGTTGTTCTCAATTCTACCTACACCCTTCCACCTACTCTCAAAAGTCGATTACTCTCACCTTGATCGCAGCCACAAGACTCCATACAACAACAATACCAAGGAATCTCATCTTCTTATCAATCAGTACGAACCTTATTCGCTGTTGTTTCTTTCCTTCTTAGCAATTAGGAGGCGAACTCAAACTCAAACTTGGACTCGGACTTGGACTCGCGAACGCCAGCCAAACTTACCTATATCGCAAGTACAATTCAACAGAATATAACGAGATTTTGGAGATAGAAGAAAATCTTGCCTCCTTTCTACCTCCTATATTCCTGAATCCATTTCTTGCTATTTTTAAGTCACACAATATTCGAACTACCGATTTCAAACATCTGTGGCGCAAGCACAGCACAAGAGTATACGATTAAATCGAGGAATAAAGAGATCTCGAATATAGATAAAGTAATTTATAATAATAAGTATGAATTCTCAACCATCGCACGACTTCGCGCAGGCGCAGTCTCTCCAGATTCCTGGATTACAAAGGTACGCCCCCATGAGCCCAGCCATACTTTCAAAATCGCCTTTGCTCGAACAACAACTAATGTATGATAATGAAGCCAAGACTGCAAGCTCATCATAAGACAACAACCTCGCTACGCGAGAGTCAACATGGGCAAAGAGAAAGGTAAATTGGCCTACAGTCTTTTGTACTGGCATAAATCTAATTCATTTCCAGACCGTCGAGCAGTCGACCCACCACCCGTTGTTCAGCTTTTAATATCCCACGCGGTTGACTCCAGTGAACGTTATATTATAAGTATGAAGGCAATCTCTGTGATTTTCTTTCAATTGCTAACTCTTTCAGACCCACATTTCTTTATGAAAAGTAGTCTTACGCCAGTCACAGATATGCAAGCTGGGACATCCCATGGAGCTTTACTAGCAGGCACTACTGTTTCATCTTGTCATCGCCTGAAGGATCCGGAAACTGACGAATGGGGCGCGTATTTCGTATTTGGCGATTTGTCGGCCAAGATAGAAGGTACCTACATATTGGAGTTCAATCTTTTCGAGAGCCGCGAAGACGAAGTGGTTTGGATGGGATGCATTTCATCTGATCAATTTAATGTATATTCGTCGAAAGCGTTTCCTGGAATGATGGAGTCGACCACTATGACCAAAAAATTCCAGGAGCAGGGGCTCAAGTTGAGAGTTCGTAAGGAGCCTCGGTCGTTGCTCAGAAAGCGCGGTCCTGCGTTTGATGATTACGAGCCCAAGAAGTATCGTGCCCGAATTCATGAGCCGGACGAAGAGTCGGGTTCTCCTGAGGCGAGTAAATACATCGAACAACAACAAGCTCCCCATCAAACTACACGTATGCAGGATAGATACTCGGTCTATTCTCAGGAATCCTCGTCGCCGGACGAACGCCGGCTGAAGCGTGTAAGGACTGATACACTTTCAAGCCAATCGCAAAGCCCGAATTTCAATCAACAAGCTTCTGCCGATTCACTTCAATGGCATAGAGGATACGCTAATGTACAGCAGCAGCAGCAACAGCAACAACAACAGCACCCTTCTTTTGCTGGTCATCATGTTCCAAGCCAACACCCTTTGCAGAGTTACAACGACTATAATTCCTCAAATTATGCACATTCTCCCCAGGAAATGACTACACCGGTTCGAGATCAGTTCTTTTCGAATCAACTCTCGAATACCCACATCCATGACTCACCTCAACCCAGATCTTTACAATTCGATATGAGTAATCAGCGCCCATCTCCCACATACTATCATGCACACTCACAAGGGCCGCTGCATTCGACCGTTCCTATATTGTCGGAGCCCAATCCATTGAATCACAGGCAGGCAACCAATTATCAAGCTATGGAATATACACAAAGATCACATATTTCACACGGCGGTCTTACCGGAATGCTACCGCCATCAAACCTCGGGAGGAATTCCATGGCGCCTGGATTTCCTGGCTATCGGAGAGACACTGCATATGAACCACTACCAGGAGAGAGTCTTAGTATAGGTCAATATTCAGAACAGGGCCATTTCGGCGTGCCTCTCAGAGATCCTTACGAAGGCCGACCACCCGCACATATTGTGACAACATCACAACCAGAGTACTATCAATAAGGTTATGGAGATTTACCATTCATCAGACAAAATATGCGCTGTATTGACCTTCATGTAAAAGGGCGTCTCATCAATAACGAAATACCCATTTCATTTATCCGTTTCATTGCATATATCCATACTCAGTTTTCTTTTTCTTTTTTTCTTCTTTTCTTTTTTGTCAATTGTCGCCATTCATGGCCGCATTTTTGGCTTTCATTTGTTTGTTCCTCGGGTAGGGACTGGCTACATAGGCACATCCTAAAGCCTCTCCTTTTCTTGCGTCACTTTCTGGTTTGGGGGCTGGGTGCATATAGCAGGGCCTGGTATGGAGATACCGGGCAGCTTCGAGACGGCGCTAGGCATGCATGGAACTCGCACATACTCATCTGAATAGCGTTCTCTCCATATCCTCTTTTTTGTCGATTTCTCTCTCATCATTATCATTTCTTTATAAGCGATATTTCCTTCTCTTTAATCGCAGGTTCGCGAGTTGTTTCCCCGGGTCGGTATACCCAGGGTGATTTTGGTACTCACGCGTAGGGCCGTGATGAAAAATTGGAAATAAGGCTTCGGTCAATTGGGCATTGGGCATTGGGCATTGGGAAGAGCTGGGCGGGGCAGCAACAGGGAGGAATTTGGGTGGATGGAAATTGTATTATAGGATGGACGGGTTGGCGAAAAATCGAAGAAGGATGCATCAGTTGCAACGACGGCGGCTGGAATTTCATAATGGATGCTGCAATCACAACAGTTGACAGCTAGAAAGATTGGCTGGGACTGGGAGGATCGGAGCAGAGCAAGGAATGGGAAGGAAAGGGAAAGGAAGGGAAAGGAAAAAGATGCCGGCGAGCTTGGGGGCAAAAGGGTAAACATATATAGTAATAATTGGGAGGCTCAATGTAACATAGCATACTAGCCACGTATAGTATTCCGCATAGTCGGATGGCATTTATTCACATGTAAATACGTAAATACAAGGAATATCGCACGGGAATGCGTCTTAAAAAAAAAACAGTTGGTTTCACATTTTGCAGGTGTTTTTATTTTGTGCCGAAATGGAAGTTTTGTAAACGAGGGGGATTTTACGTGGGGTTTGTGCCGAGCCGAGGGATGGGAGGGGGAGGGGGAGGGGAAGTGAGAGGGTGCGGATGTCATTTAGATGGGCGAGAGGAAGACGTTTTTAACCATTTTGAAACTGAGGAAGGGAAGATTGAATTATTAGGGGGGTATTGAGATTGATGCGAAAAACAATATTAATATTAACATTAATTGTACGTATTTCTTTTGGTGTATCGTGAGTGAGTTGGATGTGATGTGAAGTGGTGTTTTGATTTTCCGATTGAGATTGTCGGGATTGTTTGTTGTGAGATGACGGGGTGATTTGATGGAATTCTTGTGGATACTGGATGGGATGGGATGGGAGATTTCTGGCGGGGAGTTGGGACGGGAAGGAGAGGAGGGAAGGAGGGTGAGGGGACGGGAGGCGAAGGGTTGGGTTGGGCAGGGCAGGGCTAGATGAGGATTCTGGGATTGGGGTTTGGAGTTTTAGGGGTCGGGGTCGGGGTCTGGTCTGGTCTGGTCTGGTCTGGTCTGGTCTGGGATCTAGGGATAAGGGATTGAGACTTTCCGGGGGTATCTATTTCTGTATCTCTATCTGGGGCTTGATTGAGTTTTCGGGCGGGAGGAAGAGGAGTGGGAGGAGGGGAAGGGGAAAGGATATGAGAAGCAGGGGGAACAGGGAGGAGAGGGAAAAGAGGAGGGGGAAGGGAGGAGGAGGGGGGATATAGATATAGATATAGATATAGATATAGATATAGATAGATATATATCTGTAATTACAATGAGATACAGTATCCATTATACATTATGAACGAAACCAGGGCGAGTTTCAACTATACAGTGTATACGTGCCGAGGGAGGTAGGTAGGTATGCGGTATATATCTAGTATTCAAACACGAGTGATTGATTATTGATTTAAGGTAGTTGCGTGGAGATAACGAAGGGGTCTATCTTATCTTATTTTCAATAAGGTTATTCCTTCTCTTTTGCCTTTCCTTTCCTTTTCCTATTCCTATTCCCCTTCTTTTGTCCATCTCTGACTCTCTGCTAATCTAGGAAACCGATTCTGCTTATTCTCCTCCTAGCTAGTCTTCTACTTCTCCCCCTCGCGATTCAAATAACACATCTAACACTCTATTCTCCTTGATTAATTTAAATTCCATCTTTTGTGTCTTAATGCTCTCACCTATATACTTATCTTCTTATTGCGTAGACATCTATTTCTCCTCCGCTGTATTGTGCTGTGCGACTCTGATCTGATGAGTGATAGATACCTATTATGTACAATTGGGGGATTAGGTAGGTAGGTGATATTCTCGAGATCTACGTATCTAGATTCTATATACCAGCTACACTTGCCCATCCATTCATTCATTCATCCATCCATTATATGCATAAAACTCACTAGCAACATTCCACTCTACACAAGATTTCTGATCTGAAACTGCATCTCTACTTACCTACCTACCTAAGAATAGATGGATGGATAGATAGATAGTCGAATAAATAAAACAGTAAATTCCACAATTGCCCTACAAAACACAAAGATAGACCCAGAAGTAAAAAACTAACCACCTACCTACCTACCTACCTACACAAAGAAACCCATCCTCATCCTCATCCTCCTACCTATCGAACAGTAAACACAACATCATCTTCCAAATCCTCACAATAAACCTCATCGACTATTTCTCCGTCCATGATGCCCGCTACGTATGCTACGGTAACTGCTACGAATATCTCATTTTTATCCTCTGCTTCTTCTTTTTCTTTTTTGTTTCCTTCTCGGGGTCCTTCCTCATTTCCTTTTATGGTATCGGGATGCTTACTCTCATCATCATCATCATCATCGTCATAATCGTCATCACCATCATGCAATTGATTTCGTCCCTCTACACCCAATCTTCTCAAAACAAAAGGAGCAACTGCCCCAAACCAAATCGCCAATTGATCTCCGATTTCTATCGAACTAGGAGCTACGCCATAAAATCCCGTTGTGGTGATAAAGAAAGTGGAGTTGGGAAGGCGGTTTAGGAGAGAGAGTCTATAGTCTCTAATTTTCTCATCATCGTTGTGCGAGCTATCGTTATCTCGACGGGAAATATTACGATTGGTGTTGCATTCCTGCTTGTTCTTGTTTAGCAGTATATCGTATCTCGCTATAAGCTTCTGGTGCCACTTCACGGCCGGCTCCGGTGTAGAGCTTGTTTGTGATGAGGGTTCTCCAAACTGGTTCTTTAGTTTTGAAAAGGTGGAGGTAGGGGCGATGATGTGAGTGGAGGTTTGCGAGGTTTTTTGCTTTGAGAACCATTTTTTCGATGCGGGAGAGTTGGGCAAGACATTCAGTGTCTGGGCCAAAAGTAAATTTCTCGGCAATGGTGTCGATTGGAAGACCTCTTATGTAGAGAGTTTTGAGATCAGGAGATATGTGACCATTGATGGCAGAGCTGCCTGCTCCCGAAGCCCCTATACCTGGAGGATGATAAAGGATAGAATGAAGAAGAGACTCGCTGCCTAACCTTGGTAACCACGACGGAAAGGAAGAATACTGAAATAGGGGATTTGGACCTGCTAGTTCCAAACCGGAAAGAAAGGAAGGTCCTATTCCTTTACGGAATATGTGGGATATGGCGTCTGCGTATATTGTTCCTAGAGGTCGATTGTAATCTACTGTGATGGTTTTTCGGTCTGAGGAACCCATCATGCCTAGTAAACCATATGTCCTATCTTTAGGTTCTGTTGCTTTAGATGTAACGGTGTTGAGTAATAAATCCTGGAGGTCTTCACCTTTTTTATCAGTAACTGCCGTGCGTAAATTGTTAAGAAGATCGATTTTGATAGCACTGGTGCGTACACCTTGCAAATCAGCACTCTTGTTTGCATTCTCATTCTCGTCGCCACGTTCCATCATAATCATTCCCATTTTCGCGAATTCAATCATTGCAACTGTTTGCCACACTTTTGACAGTACACTCCAGGTAGTCCAGGTAAATCCACAACCAACTAGAGGTTCCTGATCCGCCAGTGTCAACTCTTGTATGGTCCATAGACGAGTAAACCATTCTTTCTTAACAAGCTCGATATAAAAGGAAAACATGGTTTGAGACTCCTCTTCTAAGATTTTATCTTCACTTGCAATGGCGATTTTAGACATCAAATCAAAAGCTTCCTCACACCCCTCAAAAGTCTCACCTAACCAAACTAAAACTGGTTTCGCTAGAGAATAAATCTCACCCATTAATGTGACCTGTTCATTACGTTCTTTGATATCGGATTGATTGATACAGATGGCATCAACCCAAAGCCTTCGCGATTTATTAGGTAGCCTGAGATGATATAGTGCAATTGCTAGGTTTTGAGTGACGGAGAAGAGGGTGCCATGAAATGTGATGGTTTGTCGGATGGAGGCGTCGCCCCAGACATAAGATAATGCTTCGTATGAAGGATGGGAGAGGAGAGAGATGGTTTCGACGGTACATTGAATTGGGGTACCTTGGCTTAGGGGTTGAAGGATGAGGATGCGAATTTCGCGATTGTGAAGGGAAAGGGGTTGAGTGTAGGGAGTCATTCTTGTGAGGGGATCTCGCAGAGTGCAGATAAATTGTGCGGCCTTTTCAGGATGGCTGTTTCATTGGATATTCGGGGCTGCTCATGCCGTTCATGAGATTGATGATATACCAATAGGCATGATATGATTGATTCAGCGAGCTCGGATCAAAAATAGATTGATGGATGGATTACCAACTATGGTAACCCGAGCCATTTGCAAAAACTCCCATTCCAACAAACAGTTGTTGAAGCTCGGGTGAAAAGCCAGAATTTAGGAATGATCAGGTAATATCGTGCAAACAAGAATCGCAACATCAGTCACTCCTATTTGGCATTTGTGCTGACAGTCCTCAGCATCCAGACAATGTAATTGATGTTTGATCGGCAAACCAACTCATAAAACCGCCGAGGGATGTGGCGTCTTGGATGGTGTGAAGTTTAGTTTTCATGCACTGCCACAATATCTTTTTTTTTTTTTCACATCTCGTGATGCTTTCTGATACGGAAGGGCAATGATAGTTTGGATCGGCGACTTCCACCACCTCGTATGAAGGGGGAGAAGCGTGTATCAGTACATCTTACGACTTTTATGCCATTGAAGGACACGAGAGGATGACTAGTTTTCGATACGGTTCTTGCTGCTTGAATTCAGATGGGGAAGTTTGTCGTGGGGTTTGGAGGTATTGTGTTGCGTTGTATTGGTGGTAATGGTGGTGATATATTGGGAGGCAGGGGGAGTTTAATCATGATATGTAAGATGGATGGAAAAGGGATACGATGTAGACAAACTTCGACATGGCATCTTTCAAACTTTTTGAGTTTGCGAATAGGGGGATGATGGGAGGTTGTTTGTAAGATGAATATTAACGGGGTTCCCTTTCAGGCCAAGACTGATTAAGCTTGCGTAGACAGATAGAGAGGTAGTTCTGACTTCCTTTACTATATGTTACCATGTTACCTAGGTATGAATGAGTAGGTAGGTAGGTCTCTATCACACCTCAAGTACTAGGAATCTATCTAGACTAGATAGATATTTGCCAATCGTTGCATTGTACATCCTTTAGCTACCCGCACCTACCCGTAGAGCCGTACTCGTTGGACTTTTATGTGCGTAGGTATATCGTCAACAATACACGGGTAGAAGGAATAGGAATGGATACCAGCATAGAGTAATAACACGTACAATATATGATACGAGCAGGTGGTACGGACTACTTACATGAGCGGGCAATACTTGCTCCTTGCTACTTGCATGAGGATATGCATCTTGAAATCTGGCCCAAGTCATTCGCTAGCTAGGAAGATCATCAACTTCAATCATTCGATTACACCCTTCAATTTTAAACACACTAGCAAGAACTTCTTTTATAAGTTATAACAGTCGAGAACGTGTTCTTCCCATGGACTTCATTGGATTATATAACTGTGAACCAATTGAATTGATTGAATGAATGCATCCTTTTAATCTTCAATCTTATTCCAGAGCCACTTATTATTTTATTTTATTCCTTCTACGGCTTACTGCGTAGCCCCTTTCCCCCGTGTGATTAAAGGTACGGAGGTAGAATTTACTGAGATGCTAATAACTCTGTACTGTCCATCCCTCCATCCCTTTCCCCCCAAAATAGATAGATTGATGCGTAGCCTCCATTGACACAGTGGCCTTCTCTAATACTACGCACACTCACACTTATTACCCTTACACTTCCTTACATTCACATTCAAACATCATCTCAACACAAATTCTTTCCAACTTCAACAACAACAACAACTACTACTACTACTACTACTACATAAGAAGACAACGTTGAACCTTTTTCATTCAATTCAATCTTCTTTTTGCTAAACACTTTAATAGCAACAAATCCATTCGTTGATTTCCATTTCGATTCAATTTTAATTGTACAATCTACATCTTCTTTTCTCCTTCACCATTCCAATCGTGCTTGAGCATATCCAATTCACAAGGACACCGCAACATTCACCATCTTCCATTAAATAAGGAGAAGTGGTGTTCAACATCCAACCCAATTTACATCTTCTCGACACTTGTTCTTATTTATCCTCTTATACTGTGGGGTAGAACTAGACACACATACAACCTTTCTACACATTTTACTTCTTACCAACTATCAAAATGAAGGGTGAGCTATTTTCGCATTCGCAGCAGACCTTTTGGCAATGCATCACTAACAGATTCATACAGCTCTCATTCTTGTCGGTGGCTTTGGCACCCGTCTTCGCCCACTCGTACGTTCTCCCAATGCCATGATACGACATTCGAAATCTACATGGCGCTCTTCGCACAAGCTACAAAGCTTTCAAAAAGACACCCAGCAACTGACCATTATCCATAGACTCTTACCCTCCCCAAACCCTTAGTCGAATTCGGTAACAAGCGCATGATCTTGCATCAAGTTGAAGCCTTGGCAGAAGCTGGAGTTACAGATATTGTGTTGGCTGTCAATTATCGTCCAGAGGTTATGGAAAAGTATTTGGCTGAGGTATGATTCACTACTACCACCCAGAAAAAAATTGATGGGTTACACCGCAGAAGTTAATGCAGGCACATATAGTACGAAGAAAGATTCAACGTTAAGATCACATTCTCCATCGAATCCGAACCACTAGGTACAGCCGGTCCACTTAAGCTCGCAGAAGAAATTCTCGGAAAGGATGATGCTCCTTTCTTCGTTCTCAACTCGGATGTCATCTGTGAATATCCTTTCGCAGATTTGGCTGCTTTCCACAAGAAGCACGGTGATGAAGGTACCATTGTCGTAACCAAGGTTGAGGAACCATCCAAATATGGTGTCGTTGTTCATAAACCAAACCACGCATCCAGAATCGATCGATTCGTAGAGAAGCCAGTCGAATTCGTCGGAAACCGTATTAACGCTGGTATCTACATCTTGAACCCAAGTGTCCTTAAGCGCATCGACCTCCGCCCGACCTCCATCGAACAAGAGACTTTCCCTGCCATTTGCGCCGATGGTCAACTGCACTCTTTCGACTTGGAAGGATTCTGGATGGACGTTGGGCAACCTAAGGACTTCCTCTCCGGAACTTGTCTTTACCTTTCCTCCCTTACCAAGAAGGGCTCCAAGCTCCTTACTCCACCAAACACCCCATACGTACACGGCGGCAATGTCTTGATTGACCCTTCTGCCAAGATTGGCAAGAACTGCCGCATTGGTCCCAACGTAACAATTGGCCCCAACGTTGTTATCGGTGATGGTGTTCGTTTACAACGTTGTGTTCTCCTCGAGGGCTCCAAAGTCAAGGATCACGCTTGGGTTAAGAGTACCATCGTAGGCTGGAACTCTACTATCGGTAAATGGGCACGTTTGGAAAATGTCAGTGTATTGGGTGATGACGTTACGATTGGTGATGAAATTTATGTAAACGGAGGTAGCATTCTCCCACATAAGAGCATCAAGGCTAATGTTGACGTTCCGGCCATTATCATGTAAAGAGGGAAAGGATCGCTGGACGAGTAACAGATTTGCAGTAGAGAAAAAATGGGACGAGATACCTTTTTTGGATGAAAAGTTATGGAGAGAAGAAATGAGGGTACGAGGAAGGGAAGGAGTAAAGTAATTCATGGATGGACTTCATTACCTGGCCGTTTTTTTGCCATTTCTCGATCGTATCTTGTTGAATTTGGGCTTTGGCTTTTGGCTTTGGGGGTTAAAAGGGTCACGCATTACATGTTTTTATGGATGCATGCAATTTTTTCGTTTCTTCTTGGGGGCCAAAGAAATTCTAGAGAAGAACATTTGCATTTTTTTTTCTCTCTCAAAAGACTGTTTCCAAATTTCAATGGTGCTTGATCTATTCTGTTCTTTTCTTCTGTCGCTTTTGGCGGGTAGATATGGTGTATGTGTGTGTATGTGTAGGGATGTGTGGATGGATGGATGCTTAGTCATTGTATTATATTGGGTATGCAATGTGTGTGGCATGCATGCATGTATACCTATCTATGTATGATTGATATCTCCTCTCAGCGAAATGAAATAAAAAGTTGATTGCATTGATTGATTGGGATGAAGTGAGTGAGTAATAACTAACTAAGCTTTCAATAAGGTGTGGTGTAGAGTTGTATTGTGATTTGTGAATGGTATTGTGTGTTCTGGGGAGAGAGAGAGAGAGAGAGAGAGAGAGAGAGAGAGAGATATTGGAAATGAACTGTAGATGAGGAAGAATGAATAACAAAACATCTTGATGAACTTGTTTAATGACTTCTTTGATGAATAGAATAGAATAGAAGAGATGAGAATAGAATAGAAGAGAAGAGATATACTAGATATACATGATATGATGTGTGCTCTTCCTTTTGATTTGCCTATAGACCTAAATGTACCTGACTGCTCGTAGAGATAGATACATGGTATTCGTGCATTCATTCATTTATCCCATGCATGGATCGAGCAAGAAATGCAATGCAATACCACCTCTCATTTCCCTTCCCCATTGCGCCAATCCCAAAACCCAATCGCCAAACCATGATATGTTACGCCAAAATAGAAGCTTCTCTTTTTCATCACAGTCATCAATCTCCCATTCACATCCACATCCGCAACACTATTTCCTCCCCTTCCCCTTCCCCTTCTTCCTCCTCTCCCCCTCCTTCTCCCCCTCCTTCTCCCTCTCCCCCACACTAACCCCCGCCGCCTCCGCCTCACCCTCACCTAACTCCCCGGCCTCCTCCATCTCCTTAATCTTCTCCCTCCCACTAATCATAACCATCAAATCCCGATTCGCCTCCCTCAACTCCTCACACTCCTCTCTCGCCCGCTTAATCTCCTCCTCCTTCCTCTTCACCCCCTCACTCACAAACCCAATCCTCTCCATCAAACCCTCCGAAACCTTCTTCTCCTCCCTCAAACTCTTCCCCATCGCCCTCGCAATCTCCTGCGCCTTCTCCGCCTTCCTCTTCTCCCTCTCCAACTCCCTCTCCAAACCCGGCACCGTCTCCCCACTCAACTTCCGATACTTCTCCTCCAGCTCCCCCAACCT